TGTCCGGCCCGCTTCATGTCTGTTTCTCCGTGTTTCCCTCACCTCCCTCTTCGCCCACTCGTCCCCCGCTCTCTGTCATCTCCTTTCCCCCTCTCCGTCCCATCCTTCTCTTCTTCCTTTTGGCTCCCTTGTCTGTTCCTGTCTGTCTGTCCCTGCAGGAATTGCCTCCTTCCAGTGTCTACCAGCCTTGGGGCTCTGGAACCCCCGGGGCCCTGACCTCAGCAACTGCACCTCCCCCTGGGTCAACCAGGTGGCCCAGAAGGTACCAGCCACCACCCCTCGCAGGCAGGCACATGTGCTCGGGCCCAGGGCCCAGGGCCCAGCGGGGGTCGTGGAGCAACTGGGGAGACTCGGGCTGGCAGGTCTGGAAGGCAGGACTGCGGGGTCACCTCTCTGGCCTACAAAGGGAGCAGGGACAGATGGGGTGGGAAAGGGCAGACGGTGATGGGGAAGCGGAAAGAGAAAGAGGAGAGGCTGCACAGGCCAGGGAAGCTGGGGAGGGCAGGATGATCCCTGACAGACCTGGGATTTCCCCTCCCTGCCCCCCACCTCATGCAGATCAAGAGTGGGGAGAACGCGGCCAACATCGCCAGCGAGCTGGCCCGACACACCCGAGGCTCCATCTATGCGGGGGACGTCTCCTCCTCTGTGAAGCTGATGGAGCAGCTGCTGGACATTCTGGACGCCCAGCTGCAGGCCCTGCGGCCCATCGAACGCGAGTCAGCCGGAAAGAACTACAACAAGGTGGGGCCTGGTGGCAGCGCTGACCTGGCGCGGGGAAGGCGCCTGCCCCCAAGGGCACAGGAAGTATCCAACCTGGTACCTCCCAGCCAGGCTGCCACCTCCACTCCCTTCCTCAGAGAGGAAGGACCCCCCTGCCCAAGGACTGCTGGGTCTCACTCCTGTGCTGCCTCAGACGGTCCTGGGTGTTGGGGATCCCTACGGAATGTCTTGCTGATAGCCCAGCCCTGGGGCAGTGGTAGCCACAGATGAGAGAGCTATACAGATGTGACAGTACTGGGGTGAGGGAACTGGCGTCCAGAGGTCTGGCCTGACATCACCTCCATCTCTTTCTAGATGCACAAGCGGGAGAGAACTTGCAAGGATTATATCAAGGTGAGACCCAAGGGGTTCCAGTGTAAGGACCGTGGGCTCCGGCTGACGGGAGAATAGGGGTATAGGTTGAGAAGAGGGCATGCAGAGCCCACCCAAGGAATTAGAGGGTGTTGAGGGGCTCACAGCACCATCCCCCCTGCCTGCGCAGGCCGTGGTGGAGACAGTGGACAATCTGCTCCGGCCAGAAGCTCTGGAGTCCTGGAAGGACATGAATGCCACGGAGCAGGTGCACACGGCCACCATGCTCCTGGACGTCCTGGAGGAGGGTGCCTTCCTGCTGGCCGACAACGTCAGGGAGCCTGCCCGCTTCCTGGCTGCCAAGGAGAATGTGGGTGAGTGCCACGGTCACCCAGAGCAAACTCAGATACGAACCTTAAACCATGGGGTTCTGGCCTGGAGGCCGCAGAGGAGCTACCCAATGCTTGGGCGTCTTGCCACAGGGTCTTGTTCTGTAGCCTGAGCCCCTGGACTGGGAACAGACCCCAACTGCATGTGCCTTGCCTTCCCCTGTCCCCACAGTCCTGGAAGTCACAGTCCTGAACACAGAGGGCCAGGTGCAGGAGCTGGTGTTCCCCCAGGAGGAGTACCCAAGAAAGAACTCCATCCAGCTGTCTGCCAAAACCATCAAGCAGAACAGCCGCAATGGTCAGTGTCCCTGGCGGGGCCTCGGGTGGGGAGGCAGCCCCCTCCCCGCCCCCTAGCCCTGTGCCAGCATCTCTGTGCCATTTGTGGAGGGCAGCAGTCCTGAACTTTCCTCCTGCTAGTGTAAAATTTGAGGGGATTCATGGGTTCCCTGAAGTACTGCAGAGCCCCAAGGGTGAGCCTTACAGTTGCAAAGCTGGCTCCTGGGCCTCACAGCTCAGACAGGATGGGGCCACTGAGACAAAGGTTCAGAGAGGTCAGGGGCTTGCCCAAGGTCACACAGTGAGAATGGGTGGGTCGGAGGCCCAGCCCATGTGTCCTGGCACACTGCCCTGCTGTTTCGAACTGCCTTCGGCTGAGCAGTGGTCTTGTGGACAGGGCTCCCTGCCCCCCACCTGCCTGGGCTATGGAGTGGCTTCAGAGGTCCCAGTGGCCGGCATGGCCAAGGCCTGAGGAGCTGGCCGAGCTAGGAAGCCAGGGGCCTGGACAGAGGTGCGCCAGCTGAGGATGCTGACACATCCAAACATGCCTGTCCTCGCCAGGGGTGGTCAAAGTTGTCTTCATCCTCTACAACAACCTGGGCCTCTTCCTGTCCACGGAGAATGCCACAGTCAAGCTGGCCGGCGAAGCAGGCCCGGGTGGCCCTGGGGGCGCCTCTCTAGTGGTGAACTCACAGGTCATCGCAGCATCCATCAACAAGGAGTCCAGCCGTGTCTTCCTCATGGACCCTGTCATCTTCACTGTGGCCCACCTGGAGGTGAGCTGAGCTGTCCTCCTCCCTCCATGGGGGTCCCTGTACCCTCTGTGTTCCCAAGCTGTGTACCTGCCGCTCCACCATGTGCTCACTTCGAGAACAAGTTATGGGTTCTTCCACTTCAGTAGCTTGGGCCATTTGTCCCCAGAGCTCTTAGAATGTCAGCTGGAGCCCCAGACTCCAGGCACTTCTTTGATACTTGGCACCATCCCTGTAGCCAGGTGTGGGGGGCCGGAATGGGATTCCCCGGTTCTGACTCCAGTTCTGACACCCTGGCGCCACCACACAACAGGACAAGAACCACTTCAATGCCAACTGCTCCTTCTGGAACTACTCGGAGCGTTCCATGCTGGGCTACTGGTCGACCCAGGGCTGCCGCCTGGTGGAGTCCAACAAGACCCATACCACGTGTGCCTGCAGCCACCTCACCAACTTTGCCGTGCTCATGGCTCACCGCGAGATCGTAAGCTGGCTGGCGCTCTGCTCCTCCGGGCAGGCCCGCTTGCTGGCCTGGCTTTGCATGGCATCCTAGAGAGATCATGGGCAGTGCTGGGGAGGCTGGCCTCATGGCTGTGGGGGGCCCCTAGTCTTGCCTGGGGCATGAGGCCATGCATCTGGTTCTGTCTGGTCATGTATGGCCATGGTCCCACCATCTCCCAAGGCACTCTGGAGAATCAAGTTGGTGTCACGTTAGTCATCTCTCCACAAGCCTTCCAGAGCATGAGGAAGTGAGCGCATTGCTGCGTGCAGAGGAGTGGGGGCTGCCAGATTGGCGGCACCAGAAGTCCTCGTGGCCCATGGCCTTGCCCAGGGCCCTGCCTGCAGCTGGCACCTGGCTGAGCCCAGTGTGCAAAACCAAAGGCCCTGAGCGCGCCCCCTGCTCCTGTCCCCAGTACCAGGGCCGCATCAACGAGCTGCTGCTGTCGGTCATCACCTGGGTGGGCATCGTGATCTCCCTGGTCTGCCTGGCCATCTGCATCTCCACCTTCTGCTTTCTGCGGGGGCTGCAGACTGACCGCAACACCATCCACAAGAACCTGTGCATCAACCTCTTCCTGGCTGAGCTGCTTTTCCTGGTCGGGATCGACAAGACTCAGTATGAGGTGGGCTGGGACTCGAGGGCAGGTGATGGCCAGTGCCTGGGGGGCCAGGAGAGGAAAGGGGACGCCTGCCCGAGCCCCTCACCCTCGGTGCTCCCTGCAGATTGCCTGCCCCATCTTCGCCGGCCTGCTGCACTACTTCTTCCTGGCCGCCTTCTCCTGGCTGTGCCTGGAGGGCGTGCACCTCTACCTGCTGCTGGTGGAGGTGTTTGAGAGCGAGTATTCCCGCACCAAGTACTACTACCTGGGCGGCTACTGCTTCCCAGCTCTGGTGGTGGGCATCGCGGCTGCCATTGACTACCGCAGCTATGGCACCGAGAAGGCGTGAGTTTCCACCTCCCAGCCCTGCACCGGTTCCTCCCGCGTGGTTCCCTGCTGGGCGGCACCCCTTGGGAAAGGACCCTCAGGGCGGTGGCCTCCCTTCCTGATCCCAGAGGCTGTAACCTGCAGAGTCCTAGGTCTTCATGGGTCGCTGGGAATGGCTCCTCGGCTTCTCTCTATACCCCGGCCCTGTTTCCTTTACAGCTGCTGGCTCCGAGTGGACAATTACTTCATCTGGAGTTTCATCGGGCCCGTCTCCTTTGTTATCGTGGTGAGTTGGGAGGTGACACCCCTAGCACCACATCTTCCTTCATCCAGGCTGGCCTTGACTCTAGCCCCTGCCCCCACCACACACACACACACACACACACACACACACACACTCTCACACTCTCACACACTCCCCACATCGGAACTGAGCCACCAGCTGAGAGGATGAGAGTGTGCTGGGTTCATGGAGCTCCGATGCTGAGGGCTACTCGCCTGGGGGACTGTGATTTGAGCCCCTACCATATGTCAGGCCATGGGCATTGTCCTCCCAGCAGCCAGGAGTGGCATTCAATTGCCAGTCATGTCAGTTAGCTCACTGTCACCTCAGGGGCAGATACAGGGTTCTCCCAGCAGAGGCGAGGGCCACAGCTGAGACTTCGCCAGGCCGGGCCCATGTCTCAGTGCTCACTGAGGGAGGCAGGGCCACTCTCAGCCCAGCCTGTCCCTTGTCCCGCCCCCAGGTCAACCTGGTGTTCCTCATGGTGACCCTGCACAAGATGATCCGAAGCTCATCTGTGCTCAAGCCTGACTCCAGCCGCCTGGACAACATTAAGTGAGCCTCGCCCCTGCCTGCCCCCTGCCCCATCACACACCCCCACCCCGCGCGGGGACCACCTCCTCCAGGGTGTCCTAAAAGGTAGTGCTGTCACCTCTGGTGACACATACTGCAATTTTAAGTACCAAGAGGGGTGTTTTATTGTGGTCACTATGTGCCTACTTAATGGGTCTTAGAAAGTGTATCATTAGCACGTCCAACCTGTGGTTTTAGAGGCATGACTGTGTAGGGGGAGGCTAAATTCAACAGGTGAGTGTGTTTAAGGGCAATTTAAAGAGAAATAGGCAGCAAATGTAGCCTCAGTGGTCTGGAAATTTGGCAGAAACAATGAAGGTGGCAGAGGAACGACTGATGTTCACAATACCCCGACCCAGTACCTTTCCCTCAGGCCCAGGCTGGGGTGGAGGCATCCTGGGCAGGCCAGTGCCCCTAAGGCCCACTCAGCCTGCTCAGGGCTTTGCAGACAGTGCCCAGGCCCACCCAAGGGCCCCCTTTGTAGGCTGCAGGGGAGGCCCGGGCTGAGGCCGTCCCCTCTGGTGGGTACTTTGACACCTCTATCGCCCCACCCCCAGATCCTGGGCTCTGGGGGCCATTGCGCTGCTGTTCCTGCTGGGCCTCACCTGGGCTTTCGGCCTCCTCTTCATCAACAAGGAGTCGGTGGTCATGGCCTATCTCTTCACCACCTTCAACGCCTTCCAGGGGGTCTTCATCTTCGTCTTTCACTGCGCCTTACAGAAGAAGGTGAGGTCGAAGCGGGGTCCTGGGTCACAGCCTCCCTTGGAGACATTTCCTGGGCATCCAGGAAAAGGCAGCGAGGGTGGAGGAGACTCAGGGGCTCCCTCAAGCCCCCAGTGAGTGCTGCAGGGCTTCTACGGTCAGGTCTGCGTCCACAGGGAGGGGAGCACGAGCTCATGGCTAGGGAGGGTTTAACCACAGGTGAAGAGGGTTCTGGAAAAAAGCAAGATACAGCAGCTTAGAGGAGTGAGAGCAGGACAGATTTGGTGATGGGGAACCCTCACCACCATGAGGGCCACGAGTCAGGCCTGGGAGGGGGAGGACTTCGGGAGCCACCCTGAGGGAGCACTGCCTGCATTCATAGTTCAGGAAATAATTGTGAATTTTGTGGTGACAGAAAGGATCTTTTTAAAATAAATGTGTAAAAATCTGAATCTTAAGAAAACATACAGGCCAGACGCGGTGGCTCACGCCTATAATCCCAACACTTTGGGAGGCTGAGGCGGGCGGATCACCTGAGGTCAGGAGTTCCAGACCAGCCTGGCCAACATGGTGAAACCCTGTCTCTACTTTAAAAATATAAAAATTAGCCGGGCATGGTGGCGGGCGCCTGTAATCCCAGCTACTTGGGAGGCTGAGGCAGGAGAATCGCTTGAACCCGGAAGGCGGAGGTTGCAGTGAGCCGAGATTATGCCACTGCATTCCAGCCTGGGCAACAGGGTAAGACTCTGTCTCAAAGAAAAAAAAAAAAAAAAAAAAGGACTGGGTGCAGTGGCTCATGCCTGTAATCCCAGCACTTTGGGAGGCTGAGGCAGGAGGATCGCTTAAGCCCAGGAATTCGAGACCAGCCTGGGCAACAGAGGCCCTGTCTCTATTTAAAAAAAAACAAAGGGGACAACAGTAGCCGGGGAATGTGGGCAGGGAGTGGGGGGTACAGGCAGCACTGTCAGGACTGAAGCTGGGGAGACGGAGCTGAGGCATTTGTAGAGTCAGCCCTGGCAGCAGTGCGGGCGATGGAGACTGCTGTTAGACTTGGGGAATGGTGAAGTGGGTAAGGCTTAAGGCAGGGGATGGCGGAGGCAGTGATCATGAGAATCCTGGTTGCAAGGGAGGAGGTGGCCTGTGTCCCTGCTCTGTCCATCTGTCCAACACTGTCCTGGCCCCTCCTCAGACAGATGGTCAAAGACAGTGTCTGCGTGGCCCCCACCTCACACGCAGTGACAGCGATGTCCTTTCAGGGGACCCCAGGCCCCTATGTTCTGATCTGGGCCCCTCGGCTCCCCTCCCTCCAACCTCCGCTCTCAGACACCTAGATGTGGACCCGCCTCAGAGTGCAGCCCCTGTTCTTACGTTGGCCTAAATGAGGCGTCTGATCTATTTATTTTTTTAGGTTTTTAAATTTTTTTAACTATTTTTTTTTGAGACAGAGTCTCGTTCTGTCCCCAGGCTGGAGTGCAATGGCGTGATCTCGGTTCGCTGCAACCTCCGCCTCGTGGGTTCAAGCAGTTATCATGCCAAGTAGCTGGGATTACAGATGCCCACCGCCACGACCAGCTAATTTTTGTATTTTTAGTAGAGGGGGTTTCACCATGTTGCCTAGGCTGGTCTTGAACCCCTGACCTCAGGTGATCCACCCACCTCTGCCTTTCAGAGTGCTGGGATTACAGGTGTGAGCCACCATGTCTGGCCTCCTCTGGTCTATTTAAAATCACAACCAGTTTGGCCAACATGGTAAAACCCTGTCTCTACAAAAAAAACAAAAAAAAGCCGGGTGTGGTGGTGTGCGCCTGTAATCCCAGCTACTCGGGAGGCTGAGGCAGGAGAATCGCGTGAACCCGGAAGGTGGAGGTTGCAGTGAGCCGAGATCGCACCACTGCACTCCAGCGTGGGTGCCAGAGCGAGACACCATTGCACTCCAGTCTGGGTGACAGTGCGAGATTCCGTCTCAAAAAAAAAAAAAAAAATCACAACCTGCTCCCAAGTCAGCACTGCCTAACCCCCTTTCCAGCCATAGTTTTCTCCGCAGCACGTAACACCATCCAACAGCCTGCATATTTATATATTCATCTATGTTCTGTCTCTGTCTACCGAAATATAAGCTCTCAGAGGTACGGATTTGTGTCTGTTGTCTTCCGTACCATCCCTGAGGCCTAAATTGTGCCTGGCACATAGCGAATGCTCATTAATGCTCTGTTGATTTTATGAATGAATGAAAAACTGTCAGTGGAGGTGGGGAAGAGGATGGGCCTGAGTAAGAAGAGATTGAAACCTGATCGGCTGGCTGTTGGGGGACAGGGGACAGCAAGATTTCCATGGCTTGCAAGTTGCTGAACAGGGCAACATAGTCATTGGAAGCTCGATCTCTGGCCTCCCAAGGCTGGCTGTCTTGTGACCAGCCCTGTGGTAGGCTGGATCACAGAGGAGGCCAGCGTCCCGACCAGCTGACGGTCCTCCTCACCCCCTAGGTGCACAAGGAGTACAGCAAGTGCCTGCGTCACTCCTACTGCTGCATCCGCTCCCCTCCCGGGGGCACTCACGGATCCCTCAAGACCTCAGCCATGCGAAGCAACACCCGCTATTACACAGGGACTCAGGTATCAGGCCAGACAGGGCTCCCTGGGGCTGAGTGTTGGAACCTAGAGCCTGAGAGGCAGGGAGTGGCTTGGCCTGGGTTTCTGATCATGATGATTGGCTGAGCAGTCTCAAAAAGACGCCAGAGGGTGGGTGGCCCAAGGACCCCCTCACATCTGGGTTGTGTCCCCAGAGCCGAATTCGGAGGATGTGGAATGACACTGTGAGGAAACAGACGGAGTCCTCCTTCATGGCGGGTGACATCAACAGCACCCCAACCCTGAATCGAGGTGAGAAGGTGTCCCTCTGCCTCTGGCGCCGGTCTCTAGAGGCTCCCGGCCGCCTTGTGACCTCTGATCCCTTGGCCAGGTACCATGGGGAACCACCTGCTGACCAACCCTGTGCTGCAGCCCCGTGGGGGCACCAGCCCCTACAACACCCTCATCGCCGAGTCGGTGGGCTTCAATCCCTCCTCGCCCCCGGTCTTCAACTCCCCAGGTGAGAGCACGGGGGGAAGCATCCCAGGTTGGGAAATGGAGGGTTTGTGTCCCAAGGGACCTCCGCCTGGGATGTTCTGTGCCCCAGAACTGGGGCCTGGACTTGCATTTCAAGCTCACCCTCGCCTTCTCTTTTCTCTCCTGGCTGCCACCTGCAGGGAGCTACCGGGAACCCAGTAAGTGTGACTCTTCCCTGGGGATGTTTCTGAGGCTGGGGGAGGGACAGACAGTGGCCTTCTCAGATGGCCTCACTTGAGGAGAACTCGGGATGCCCTTCCCATGCCCACATCTCCCTACCCCCCGACACACAGCCTCTGGTTGGCAGCCGAATGGAGGATAATGGATGGTGTTCATTGAGTTTGGGCCGTTAGGTGCTGAGGGTCTGAGCATAGGAAAGGGATCCTGTCGCCCAGGCCTCCTCACACTGCTGAGATTCTGAGCCTCCAGCTGAGGATGAGACCCTGGGGGAACTGGTCCTTGTCCCCTGCCTTTCATCAATCCACTGCTGGGCTGGTGTCTCTACTGCCAGTGAGGGAGAAAGGGGATGTGAGACCAGAGATCCAGGGGGTAGGGGGAAGCCTACGGAAAACCAGCGGGAATCGAGCCCCACTTCACACAGACCGCATCCCCTCACTAACCCCTAGTGCATCCAGGGCCCCTTTTCTACCTTACCAGCCCCTTTCTGCCCTGCAGAGCACCCCTTGGGAGGCCGGGAAGCCTGTGGCATGGACACCCTGCCCCTGAACGGCAACTTCAACAACAGTTACTCCTTGCGAAGTGGGGATTTCCCTCCCGGGGATGGGGGCCCCGAGCCGCCCCGAGGCCGGAACCTAGCTGATGCGGCGGCCTTCGAGAAGATGATCATCTCGGAGCTGGTGCACAACAACCTGCGGGGGAGCAGCAGCGCGGCCAAGGGCCCTCCACCGCCTGAGCCCCCCGTGCCACCTGTGCCAGGGGGCGGGGGCGAGGAAGAGGCAGGCGGGCCCGGGGGTGCTGACCGGGCTGAGATTGAACTTCTCTATAAGGCCCTGGAGGAGCCTCTGCTGCTGCCCCGGGCCCAGTCGGTGCTGTACCAGAGCGATCTGGACGAGTCGGAGAGCTGCACGGCCGAGGACGGCGCCACCAGCCGGCCCCTCTCCTCCCCTCCGGGCCGGGACTCCCTCTATGCCAGCGGGGCCAACCTGCGGGACTCACCCTCCTACCCGGACAGCAGCCCTGAGGGGCCCAGTGAGGCCCTGCCCCCACCCCCTCCCGCACCCCCTGGTCCCCCCGAAATCTACTACACCTCGCGCCCGCCAGCCCTGGTGGCCCGGAATCCCCTGCAGGGCTACTACCAGGTGCGGCGTCCTAGCCACGAGGGCTACCTGGCAGCCCCAGGCCTTGAGGGGCCAGGGCCCGATGGGGACGGGCAGATGCAGCTGGTCACCAGTCTCTGAGGGGACCTCATGGACCAGGGGCTGGTGGCCCAGGCCAGGGAGGGAACCCTGGGCAGGGCTCTGGTGGGAGAGGGAGACAGATGGAGGCAGTGGCTGGTGGGCCACTCTCTCCAGGTGCCCCTCAGCCATGGGCCCTACAGTCCCCTCAGGGGACTCTGACCTGGGGGCCTGAGGTGCCAGGGTTCACAGACAGGGTTTCCCACCAGCCACACGCACCAGCTCTATTTGGGGGAAGTGTAGTGAGGAGGAGCCCAGAGGTCCCCAGGGGAGTGAGGAGGGAGAACTTGGAAGGGTGCAGCCCACTTCCAGACTCTCCACTCTCCCACCCTTCTACGCCGTGAAGGGAAATGAGGGCTTTAGTTTCCCTGGGCAGGAGGGGCAGCTTCTGAGGTTGCCAAAGGCCCCCACTGGATCGAACCTGTCAGCTGCTCCTCTCCGCAGCCAGAAATGCTGCCGGCTGCACCCAGAGGGAGCAGTGAGGCAGGACAGATGGACAGGTTCCTCCTGCGCTGCAGTTCCTTGCTCCCTGGAGACTGGGAAAAGGCCACAGGGCAGGGGGACTGGGCGGTGGTGGCTGGTGGTTTAAAGGTCCAACTTTCTCTGAAGCTCCTTTCCCCTTGCTCTTGGTCCCTGCCCCCCAAGCAAGCCTGCCCCCTCTGCCTCCCAGTGCACCCAATGACCCCCTCCCTTGGGGCGACTCCTGATGAAG